GGAGAATATGGGTGATTACAAGAAAGAATTTGCTAGACTTCATGATTATGCAGAAATGCTAAAGTCTACTAATCCTGGCACTATTGTAGTGATAAGGACATCTAAGAATGCAGAACCTGGCAAGGTTGTGTTTATAGGCATTTATGTCTGTCTTGAAGCATTAAAAACTGGATGGTTAGAAGGCTGCAGAAACATAATTGGCTTTAATGGTACATTCCTAAAGGAGACATGCAAAGGTGAACTGTTTTCCTGCATTTCCAAGTATAAAAATAATTAAATGTACCATGTGGCTTGGGCAGTAGTTGAAAAGGATTTAAAGGATAGATGGTCTTGGTTTATCAGATGTCTCAAGCATGATCTGAACTTGACAGAAACTGAAGGAGAAGGGCTGACAGACATGTCTGATATGCAGAAGGTATGGTTTCTAACACTTTGTCTTTAAAGTGTAATTGTTTTCATTTATGTTTAATTTATAACAATATAATGTTGTTGATTGTAGGGTCTTCATTTAGCCATAACTCAGTTATTGCCAAATATTGAGATGAGGTGGTGTGCTAGACATATCTGGACTAATTGGAAGCAAACTTGGCTTGATGAGGAAAGAAGAAAACACTTCTGGCAGTGTGCAAGAGCTACATTTGAAGTTTACTTTAGTTGGATGAAATGGACCAGCTGGGGGGATATATTGTTCAAGACTTACTGAAATATAACAAGGAGATATGGTGTAGGTCATACTTCAAAGAACATAGTAAGTGTGATGTAGTGGAAAACAATATGTGTGAGACATTCAATAGTTGGATATTGGGAGCTAGGCACAAATCTATTATTACTATGTTAGAGGAAATTAGAATCAAGTGTATGGAGAGGATGAATAGCATGAAAGAGTTTTCTGGAAAATGGGTAGGTGATATATCACCCATGGCTATGGAAATACTTGGAGAGAATGCTCAAAGGGCAGCCAAATATGAAGTCAAATTTAATGGTGAAACATGGTATGAGATCCAGGATGGGCCATATAAACATGTTGTTGACTTTAGGAGGTCTTCCTGTACTTGTAGATTATGGCAACTCAAAGGAATTTTATGTGCACATGCAATTATAGCAATGCATTATAAGAACTATGAGGTTGAGCCATATGTTGACCATTGGTATAGGAAGGACACCTACCTTAAGGCATACAACAGATTCATTCAATCTTTAACTAGTATGAATTTGTGGCCAAAAGCACACTGCCAGCTATTGAGCCACATGTTATAACTGCAATGCCAGGAAGGCCAAAGAAAAAAAGGGAGAAAAGTTGCTGATGAACCAAAGAAGAAGTTTGGGAAGGGTACAAGGATACGGAGACAAATGAGATGTTCTTTGTACAAAACTCTTGGACATAACAAGAAAGGATGTCCATCAGCAGTAAGTATTAATGTTCTTTGTGGTCATTATCAGATGAATTCAATTACTAGTCTTTGTTTTGTTATGTGTATGCAGAGAAACCAAGGGGGAAGGGCTGGAACTAGTTCAGTTGGAGGTGAAACTGCTGAAAATGCTTCATCAACAGCATCAGGTGGAAGGGATGGAACTAGTGGAAGTGCATCAGCAGCAGTAATAACTTCAACTATGGAAAGTGGCACCTTCACTCAACCAATCACTGATCCAAGCACACAACAATCAACTAATGTTGCTGGAGGTCCAAAAAGGAAGACCAATGAGCCTAGAAGAGGTGGTGAAAATGTAGGGTCTAAGAGACCAAAGGCAGCAGAATATGGTGTGTTATTTGATTCAAGTGGCACTGTGATAGAGAGGGTAAATATTTCCACTTAATTACACAATCAACATATATATTTTACTAGATAATCCCTCACTTACAACCTTTTGTCTTTGTGCAGTCTAGAACTACTGATAGAGTAGTACACAATCCTTCTACACTCATAAGTTCTGCCCCTACCAATATTGAACTTAGGTTCAAACCCCCTGGGCTAAAGTGAAAGGGTTGATCTGCAGTTACACAAAGGCAGCTGCAAGAACAGAGTTATAGAAGGGCAAACTCTGTTACAACCACTCAAGCCACACCAATGACACAATCCACACCAGGCAACCAAGCCACAACAGACATTAATTGAAGTGCTCAACTAATATTTTGAAGACTTAATCATGGATATTTTTGTTGACCGCTTGTGGTAGATAATATTTTGTAAAGCTACTTCATTATGTATGTTTTGTTGACTGCCTATCGTAGACAATATTTTGTAAAGCAACTTTCTTATTTTGGATATTTTATTAACTGCCTATAATATGCAATGATATTAGTAGTTCCTGTACTTGTTGTTGTAATGGAACCTTTGTCAATATATTCCATGAACAAAAGTTTACATCAACACAAAATATGTAGCCTAAACCCAGGAAATAAGAAAGTACACTATCAATCCTAAACACATAACATACGAGCTAATATTAGAATAACTACAACCGCAATTATAATAGCAGCAACTCTGAACTTCGACCTTCCTTGTCTTCTCTAATAATGGCATCGATCATTCTTTTAAATAAGACCCTGCAAGAAGAGTCTTGTAGTATTTTTCCTCAATCGCAGGATCAACCCATCGAAAAAAAGCCACAACCTTCACCAATCTCATATCTTCGGCAACCTAGAGACCTTCTTCCAGGATTAGTGGGTGTTCGTGACATTTTAAGATCTGCAGCAGTCCACAATAACATAAAGGTTCCTTCTTCATTGCTAAAGGAGAAGACGCGGTAATAGCTTATTTCTTGCCGGAGAAGAAGAAAAAAATTGAATTTCAAAAGAAAAGGAGATGGCAAAAATTGATGGGCAATAAAGAATCCTAGCAAAAAAAAATTATTTTGCACTGTTGAAGCTAACAAAGAAAGAAGAAGACATCAGATTTGGATACAAATCAGCTTCTACAATGTTCAACAATGGAGAATAAGGTAGAAAGAAGAAGATGACTGTTAAATAGGCCACATTATTACCGTTAGGGCTTTTTAAACTGCCTTTACGCCCCTTACAGGCGTGTGAATCACGCACTAAAGCCAAATATGACATATAGGATCAGCCACGTAGGATAAGCATTTATTATTCACGATTTGAATGAGTGTAAGTATTTAATTGGTAAACTTCTAAGTTTGGGGACCGGCATGACAAAGTGGCTTAAGTATAAATGACATTTAAGTTATTTTGCCTAAAAATAATTTTCAACTTATGCCTACTTTTAACGCACGTACTTCGCTTTTATCCCTGCTCACTTTTGATATATGGCTCTACTTTTAGCTCTGCTCACTTTTAATGCAAAGCTCCAATATTTTTAACATGTGCTCACTTTTAACACACATGACTCCAACTTTCAATCAATACTTACTTTTAATCGTGACAAGCAGCAATGATGAAAATTATGTGAAGAAGGCGGATTAAACTTTGTCAAGAAAGTTTAGCCACAAGGGAGAATTGTTTATGTTTACCCTAATTTTCTTTTCATATTTGGATTTACATGTCGTTTTAAAGAAGTATAAAATATTTACTATAATTGATTTACTTTTTCTAAAAGAAAAATATAGATCACTTTCACATTTGATAGATTCATTTTTTGGAGGAAAAAGGTTGTGACCTTTATGAATTGAGGATCACTCCTTCATACATAATAACATCCATAATGTAGTCCTTAAAAGAGTTTTATTTAGGGGGAAAAACTATTCTCTCGAAATTTTATTTTCTCTTTTTTTAGTAAATGATATGTAGGTTAATTGACCAAATCATATTAAATATAATATGTCTCTTTTAATATAATTCTCTGTCCACTGATTTATCGTCACCGAGATTTACTTTGTTCGCTTTTGTTTGACGTCTTTGTTATTTTGATCTCAACATTATCTGTAGAAATTCTAACTTGTGATTTACATTTGAAGCAGCTCTGTGGATTGATATTTGTAGAATAAGACATATGTACTACTCTATTTTATTTTCCCTATTTTTCTGTTTATTGGTGATCATATATAAGAAGTGAAAAATCAATATCACAAGAGCTGGCCACAGTAGTGCGTTCGATTGATTGGGTTTAGATGTGCCTGCAACAAATTCATTACTTTTAGTCAGTGCTTTATGCTACTCTATTATTTAGTGCAGTCTTGTTGTTAATGATATATGCTTATATAATATTCTTGAAACAAATCATAGAGGGAAATATTTGACAAAATCAATGCAGAAACTTTGCATATTCTTTGAGTTAATTTTCATCTCCTCTTCAATATTACACCTTCCACGCTAGGTTTTAAGGTATGTTTTCGTCTTGACATAACTGGTAAAGTTGCTGCCATATAACCTCTTGTAAAAATGTAGGATAAGGTTGCGTACAATAGACCTTTATAGTTCTGCCCTTCCCCGGACCCCGCGCATAGCGGGAGTTTAATGCACTGGACTGCTCTTTATTTTTTATTCGTCTCACGAGCTAAAAGTAAATGTAATACATACTTCAACTTCAACTATGGAGATGAGTTCAAGGCTCAAGCTCACTAAAAGCAAAAAAAATCAAACATATGTTTACAATTACAGATACATTTAAACAAACTAAACCAGTTCAATCAAGTTGATTTTTGGCGTGCAGACGAGAGTTGAAAAGCGAAACTCTCGCCCCAAATAAACAACTCTCAGTTCACAAGGAAAAAAGGATACAGCGAGTGAAGAATTCAAGAGTGCCTACCAACAAAGCTATTAAAAAGGCCAAAGTTATAATTGAACACAACATATTATCCATTTCAAAATCAAACATATGTTTACAATTATACATCGATAAATCAGTAATTATTAATCTCTATGTTACAACCGTACTATAATCCCTGCATACTAGTCTGCTAACGAGTTATCACGCTAACAAATCCACTTGTGTAGGTTGAGGTTCATATTAAAAGAAGGTAATACTATTCAATTCTCAATTTCCCCTCTCCCCTAACCCTTAAGTATTCTATTAAAAGAAGGTAGTTGTCACACAGATAACAACTTGAACATATTCAAACTGCCATATATTACAAACAAAGATATCATATTACAGTCTTTCATTCTCGATAGGAACTTGTGTCACAACAAATTGATAACTTTCCAATTACAGATGCCAAAATAAAAGACTTGCAAAAAAACAATATTTGATATTTACAGCCAATAGATTGTCTATCTGATCCAGTTCCTAACCAGGAACGTAAAAGTCCATTCTTTCCACAGGGAGATTCAGAACTGAAGTTTCCACCTATAACCCGGAAAAGGATAAAATAAAAAAAGCAAAGTGTTAATAGTGTTCAATCATATATGCATGTGATAGAAAATGTCAAATATCTGAAATTGTTATCGAACAGAACAAATTAAAACTTTATTCCGCTGTAATTTCACGTGACGTTAGATATAGGAAAACCTTTATCAGGCTAAAACAATTAAACTGATTCTAGTGATTGGAAAATGAAGTATCGTTGGATCGGAATCATAGCATCAAATAGGGCTAAAATCATCAAAACTGTAAGCGAAGGGACCGCGATGATGACAATCGCAAAAAACTGTAAGCAAATGAGGGGATATCTAAAGTAGATAGGACATTCAGTGGCGACTTGATGCATGTATATGCAGCAGCTAATTTGGGTGTATGAATTATGGAGAAACCACATATTCTTCTAGCTTCTGATAATATTACTATGCAAAGTGACAGCCAATTTTTCTTTTATTTATTTTGTATAGACCTATATCGACTGGTTCAAGATTGTACATAAATATTGAGCAAGCTTCAAATTAGAAGACGCTAATTCATTTTATGTCTTAGTAAATCAGAAGACACTACACCACATTCAATCATAAGAAGCATCCGCCACCTATAAGAATTGGCTCCTTAGCTATACTCATTATCAGATTTAAAAAGGAAGACAGTTTAATTTTTAGGATAAACCATCTTCCTTTTTGCATGATTTGAGGAGGGACTCCTTAGCTAAAATGTGAATGACAAACTCACCTCCTCAAATGGAACAAAGACAAAAGGTGTTAGACCCCTCTTGTGTGAAATTGCTGGAACATCTGGGTTATGTGTTTCATCCTCTTGCCACCTCTCAACAACCCCAAGAATGTCTTCGTCAGGGCCATCAACCTCACTATCACTCACACCACTCGTAAGAAGTGCAAGTAGATCCATTCTGTTATTAGCACCTTGAGTTGTACCCCTCAACCTAATGGAAATGTGATGTGTCATATAAATTTGTAAGAGGCACCAAGTAGAAATTACACCAATTAGAGAAACCAGCATTACATGTTCGTGAAGATTCTATATACTTTCCACTCTACAGTACAAACTTCAGGTTTATCAATTGCAGTCAATGTAGCGATTGAGTGACAACAAAGCATCACAAGTGATATAAATGAAAAGAACATGCCATCTGCAAGTGGAAAATAGCAGAGAATGTGCACTAAGAGTCAGAATTTGATTTTTCTAATACAAGAGAAATTTTTCGAAACTTCTTAAGAACTGCATGGAATTACGCAAGTATTAACCGATTACTTCTACAAGAGAAAGCCCAAGAGAGACTAGCTACCACGAAATCCACACCACATATAGAAACCTATTTAAACATCTTAAGGATGCAGAAATTTGTTAGCACTGCTTGCACTAAAGGATAAGGTGGGAACTGTAATGAGTGTTGACATTTATTGGAAGCACACCACTAAACTTTTTACAAGAGTTACCAGGATCTGAAAAAGATAGCCTGCTGCTTTCAAATCTGAGTTTAAAAAATCCTCAATCTCACTTGGCATCAACATATAATTTGAGTTTGCACTCTTACAGATGGTCAGTTTAATTATTCTTTTGCTTAAAAGCTAGTTTCTCTTAGAGAAAAGTTTAAGAACTTATACGGTGGCTTAAAGGGACAGGGGAAAAGTACCCAACCTTCAATAATGATTTAAGTTCACAGGAGCTCAGCATAAGAAAATTACAAAAATAGAATGTCCGTGATCAAGTACCTTAAACGGAATCTTAACACAGTTGGACGCGTTCCAGGGTACAAAAGAGCAGCTTCAACCTGCAAAAAAGAAAGCAGCAAGCTGCAGGTTCAAACTTTGCTTCACATAACTCAACTAAATACCCAAGGCAATACCCACTTAACCAAGGAGGAATGAACCATGATATAGGTTTCACCATATATGACCAATATTGCTGTTGAAAACAAATTGAGTTGTACGTAAAAGTAGATTTGAACTTACTTTATCCTCTGATAGAGTGTAATTCCCCCTAAAAACACAGTCAGCCCTTGAGGCACGGAAGTTCAGGCATTTTGTGACATCCTTGACTTTTTGTGCTGAATTCTAGTTAAGCAATTCACAGCAGTTATAAACCAGTTATAGCAAGAACAACATGTAAAGATCTTTTAGTATGTCACAAGAGCTAAGCAACCAACGATGACTACCTTATAAAGGAATCTGCCCGAAGGATAAAATCTCATATAGCGATAGTAACATACCTACAATCAAAGGAACATTTGTGGTGTTATGAAATGCCATGGAGGACTAACTGCTATAGAATGCAAAGTGAAGAAAAAGAAGCAATGGGAGGAAAATGCATCACTAATGAAAAATTCAAACACAGATCTAGAATTGATAGAATGTCAATGCTAACCAATTAAAACAAAAAGAATAAATAATTTAAGCTCAACAACTGACTTATTAAGGAGCAATGTCCAAATCAGAGAACTGAATAAATTCTTCTTCAAGGAAAAGTTGATAGAGATCGATGATGCATAACACAATGAAAATTCAATTACTACGTCCTCCCCCAAGAAACACAAGCCCCTCCGAAAAATAAATAAAAATTTTTAGGAGACATCAGGTTGACAAGCTTCTCTAGTACAAAACATTCATATTGGAAAAAAAAGGTACAGGTCGCACCCGACGGTGTGGCCTAGTCAATGAAGTGGAGTGAGAACCATGAGGTCTCAAGTTAGAATCCCAACAGAGGCAAAAACAGTAGGTGACTTCTTCCATTTGTCCAAGCATTGATGGACAGGGTTACCCGGTACCTGTGCTGGTGGAAGGTAGTAAACACCCTACAGAATTAGTCGAGATGCGCGCAAGCTGGCCCGAACACCACGATTATTAAAAAAATATACAAGTCTAATATTCTTCGAATGTTTTCAATTGACATATAAAGTATTCACTGTAACTTTCTCGTGGAAAAAGCCTTATGATAGAATATATTTCCTTTTGTGTTGGTTTTGGTCGGATAAAAAGGGTAGTGGCACGAAATATTAGCAGGAAAATGGGAGATGGAGCAAGGGACTCGCATTTGCTAGATGTTCCGCATAGTAAAGTTTGACATATGTTAGCAAGATGCTGGTAGGAGAAACGGTTGAAGTGAACATGAGATATTTGAAGAGCACCCGTACCATTCATATATATACCTTCANCCCCCCAAAAAAAATAAAAAATAAAAAACCGCACAATTGAACTTTAAAAAAAAAAAGATAGTTGTAGAGGAAAATGATCTGCGCCATTAAAAGATGCATGTTCTTTTTTCCATTTGGTGTAAAATATTTTTTTTGATAAAAAACAACTTCAATCGTTTACAACAAACACTGATCAGAATTGATTCCCTCAAAGATAACATCTCCCAGGTACACATACAAACAATACCAAAAGCCAGTGTTATCAAAGGCTCATTTGAGGCGCGTTTAAGACCTGAAGCTCAAAAAAACTCAGGGTATGCACTTCGCCTCACTTAAGTTGCGCTCCGGTGTAGGCAAAGCACTAAGGTGTGCGCCTCATACCCCATAAGTTCTATCTTAAATAGACCAATACAAAACAATAAATATGATTGGCAAAAGAATATATTATTTGTTAAGAAAGTTATTATGAATGAAATTGTTACTTATTTCTTGCATTACATATATATTCTTATTTTTTTTCTTCATTGCACCTTTTTTAACTGAAGCCCACAGTTAAATTGCACTTTTCGCTTAAAGCCCCAATAGACTTGGAGCACTTTTTAATGATTTTCGCCTTTGACAACACTGCCAAAAGCATATTTCATGTTTTCTCTTTTCCTCCAGAGGGTGGGGTAGCAATGACTCAACTGATCATAAATCTTCACGAGAAATAAGGACACAATAATTTACTATGCTTCTAGCTATGATGAACTAGCGACCTCTGTATCCTAGTGAAAAGAGGAAGTTCCATTTGTCTAATGCGTCAAATTTTCTGAACTTTCTTCCTTCATAAAATTTACAAGGCAAAAGATGAATTAGCGTATTGCAAAATTTGCCTTCTCTTAAAAGTATCGTCCAGTATTCACCAGCTCTAGCTCATCTCACAACATGCAATTCAAGAACTGTATGAGAAAATTTTAACTAAATAGAAAACAAGAATAAACATACAATATGAACTGGATTTGTAATTTTCCACTCAGCAACTCCTGCACGAATATATGTGTTTCGACTGACATAAATACCTGTAGGATAAAAATGTGAAAACTTGAAATTAGAGTCATTGACACAAATCAACCAAATTTTTACAGCCTATGACAGAAACATCCTGATAGGGAAATTCACTTGCTCAGATGAGATGAGAAGTAAATTTAGATGAATACGGTGATATGTGGTACACCACCTTATGTCGTATACCATCTACAGAGAGATTTATTTTGGAAAATAGAATCGCTGCATTCCTGTCAAATACACTATACCCAGCTTTAAGACACTTCCTGGAAAACTTTATAATTCCAGCTTTTACCAAATATTGGATGCTCTATAGCATAATTCTATTGATGCTACAAGGAGTAACCAAAATTTCTACCAAAATCAGCAACTCTTACCACTATCTTTAGTATGTAGAAATGAACATCAACAAATAATGTTTTGCAGAACTTAAAGGCTCTTCCCGGAAACAGGATTAGAGTGCTGTATTATTGCAGCGACCAATGACCAAATAACAGATTGGCTTTGAGGATAATTAAATATGCAGCGGTGTAATAATGAATAATCTGAGAATTGTACAGAAAGAAGTCACCTATCTAGTCAAAAAGTAACAAATAGAAGTTAAATACTGGCATTCTAGTGTCTTGGAAAAAGCATCTATTTCATTTCACCAAAATCAATAATCAGAATACATAACATTCCAAAATCCCGCGAAAGGAACAGTATAGCAAACCATCCCCACACATGTTCTCAATCTGCTCTCCCTCCAAAAATAATGATTTCCCTACAGTATTTTAATTAATAAGGAACTTCTTGTCATAGAAACAGGTGTGAATATCATGTGTTAAAAGAATAACCACAGCAACTTAATGTAACTATAGTATACTTCGAAGCAATTGTGCAACTATATCTTACCATCTGTACGAACCCTTGGTCTTAAAAGCCACATTTTTCTCCATGAACCATCATACTTCAACTGAAGGGCCTTATAGTTTTCTACCACTCCAGCAACCTTCAAAGAAAGAGGCACAATTTCTAAAGGTCAATAGCCAAGCTTACTAGTGGTAATAGAACTACCAGAACCAGTACCCACGGTACCTGCCAAGTCTTTAGACATGCATTGCGCCAAAATACAGGGTTCCGAATTGTATACCTCCACTTTCGACAAACACAAGCTGCCCTACCCATGGTGTATGGAGTCATTCTTGAGAAGATCTACATAATATCAATCATAAATTATGATAAGTGTCCGACTTCCTCACCTTAACTATAGAGAGACAGGAAGGACGAACATCTAATATTTCAATCTACAAACAGCATAATCTTTCTCAAGTATATCTGATTGACACAGCAATTTGGCAATCATATATTATTATGTTAATACTTCTTAAAAAGGTAAGTCAAGTGGTGATACAAAATCATATGTAATGGAGACCACCGCATACAGAATTTCTTAATTGCCTTCAATGCTCTAAATTTGAAACCCCACCTCCACCCCCAGGAGGGGAAACAACAAGAAACTTGGAGAGAGAGAGAGAGAGAGAGAGAAAGATGGGTCGGCTGAAGGCTAATTAGATAAAATTTCTTCGATAACTAGCTAACCAGCCAGAGAAAGAATCAAAGAAAAAGGTCACTGTTATGCTTGGCTGTAAAGCTTGACTTGAGTACTATAATGAGATCATAGAGTCCAGCATGCCCAATCTCCAATGAAGAAGAGATAGGGTCCAACCTTTCTTCTAAAGATGAAGAATCGAAGAGGAAAAAAGGCTTAAAGCAGATGTTAAAGTAATAATGCTGGTCTCCACATAGAATCCACTAATCTATTGTGTGGCAAGAAAGAAAAAGTTGTTCATAGGGGGCTAACTAGATATCACCTCACTGTAAATGTAAGAGTAAACCAGAACAGCCATAGTTGTTCACAGGGGGCTAACTAGATATACCTCACTATAAATGTATGAGTAAACCAGAACAGCCACAAAAACCTCTTTCTGATTAATTGTTTTCTTTTGATATTTATAAAAAAAATATATCATTTAGAGTTCCGATACCTAAAAATTGACTTAGCGCAGACCATCTGGTCTTATCAATATTGTTCAGCTTCCTAGTGTCATAAAGCATTTCAAGCACTTGCCATATATTTACATGTTGACACAAAAATTACAGAGGAAAAATTAATTGAAATCCAGGAAAGTATACCTCAAAAAGAAGTTCATCAGGTAGTACCCGGTGTATCAGTGCAGGATCAACAAAAAGCTTACTGCTAGCGCTTCCAAAAGGAGCGACAGGTTTAACATTAATCCCGTACAAATCTGAAAGGAAAAGCCAGGTGAGTCGAAAATAGTTTATTCTACACAAATTCGTCATCAAAACCAAATGTCAGCAAAAACAACCCAAGACACAATGAATATTTTATGCAGCTAGAAATTGCTAGGAGCAAGGTAATTAACGTAAACAATGACAAAGGGCAAGGAGAATACCAAGCCATGGCCTTTGAGGTACAATGAACTGAGAAGCCCTCAACCGTGCGGCAGTTTCAAGTTCCACTGCGAGTTTAACCGTGTAATCTGCAAGATATGAGCCATTTTCAGTGATTGATAACCAAAATTACAGAATACAACACCAAAGAGGAAAAATTTCTAGTTCTGTAATCAACTCAAGAAATTGGCGCAACAAATTTCCAAAAGCTCATAAAAACCCAGGTAACAAGACTAAAGCATAGATATTGACGAAAAAGTTATACATTCTCAGCATAAGTTGGAAACAAATACTTACATTACTCGAAAGAATTAAACAAATCACTAAGATCAGGCAAACAGATCTACAGTAAATGAAAATTATTGCAAGATTGGGTCAGTCATATATATTACTCTTAGGAAGGATCAGCAGTATCAACTTTTCAACTAAGCAATAAGTAGAGAGCGAAAGATTCAACAAATTGCAACAACAACTAAGCCTCAGTCCCAAACGATTTGGGATCAGTTATATGAATCCTCAGTGACCATGTTACTCCATATAAACTCATCTAAGCCCAAAATTATACATAATAAAAATAGAAATAAAAAGTACTGGAGTTCTTTATATTTTCTACTGATGTATAAAACAACTCCTTTAAAAGCATAGGACATAAGTAAAAGTGCTAACATGACTATTTCATCAAGCTGCAGACGAGCAGAAAATATACATGAGTCTGTATCATACAGAACACAATTCTTTTTTTCTTTTTCCTTATAAACAGTAGTGACCTGGCCTATTTGTATGTGATACGAATCTAAAATGGAAAAAGCTAGAGCAGTGGTACCTGGTGCTTGCGCAGGTGTACTTGGTCGTTAAGTTAGTTGGGGACAAGGCTAAGAACAAGTTTCCAAGATAGTCGTTTAGTCCCTTTTGCTTTTAAGTTATAATTAGTAGTAATTAGACATTGACCCCACGATTTCCTTTGTCTTAGACACAATAGGTCCAGATCAGGTTGTTAGAATATGGCAGAGTTGTACGCTGCCAGTTAAGTAATCTACCTTTGCATTTCTATATATTGTATTAGCTATCTCTTTCATCATTATCAATATACAGAACCTTTATTTTTGTTGCCCTAGTTATCTTTCGCTCCTTTTTCTTTCCTGCTTTTACTGTTTTATTGCTTCTTTTCCATTTTCTCTTTTGGATTTTTGTTGTTTAGCTCAGTTCGTATCAGTGCAAATCTTGACTCTGTGGGAACAATGGCTACTAATATGAGTGAAGTTACAGAGGCACTTAAAAAGATCTCTACAGAGGTGTCGACTTTCACTGCTAGACAAGACCAACTTGAGGCCATTCAAGAACAGACCTGCAGAAATCAAGAACAAGCACTGAGTGAGCTCAGGGAGGTACTCAATGAAGTTATACATGATATGGAGAGACCTGAGAGGGATAAATCAGTGGCTTACAGTGGAGGTGAGCTTACTCTCCCAACGACAAACCTTTTGATTTTGGAGACTTAGCTTCGCCTAGCTCACAAGGGGTCAATAGCCCTGCTGTTGTTTCCACCTCTATCTGCTGCTCCAATTAGAGTCACCTCTGTTGCAATGTCACTGACTTCACAGATCCCTTCAAGCCCTAGCTTCCTCAATGCAAAATCTGCCTGCACGAATCACTCCTATGCAACCTGATCCATTTCAAACATATAATTTCCCCACTCATCCAATTTCACCTCCCAGAGCAACCTTGACACCACGTCAACCCCCTTATAACCCAAGCAACTCAAGTAGGAGCTACCAACCTGCTCAGTTTCAGACTCAAGGGGCTCCTATGGTTATACCCCCACTCTATAACCATTACAGACAACACACTCAATTCCCACCTGCTTATTGCACACAAACCACTCACATATCCCGTCCTTTGTATCACCAAGTTCCATACATCCCTACACCTCACCCCTATCAGCCTACACCTACCACTAGCCACCAACAAAACATTCACTATAATACCACTGTTCCATTGCCCAATATCCATTTTGCTAAGTATCATAAGGTAGAATTCCCTAAGTTTAATGGTGAGGATCTGAGGACTTGGTTGTATAAGGTGGAGCAATTCTTTGCTGATGAGGAGGTAACTATTCAGCAGCGAATGAAGTTAGTATCCATGCACGTTGAAGGGGATGCTCCTGCAATGGCATTTAGGCTACATGAAAAGTAGGGAGCAAATGCCTCTTCCTACTTGGGAAGAGTACCTATGGGACCTTTGTGATAGCTTTGGGGCTGAATACTGTGACCCCATGACTGAGCTAATGAATGTCAAACACACAGGCTCAGTGAAGGATTATCAAAGAGCATTTGTCAGTGTTATAACTAGAATCAGATCTAGCCACTGAGCATGCTATTAGTATCTTCCTGAACAGCTTAAAACCTGAGCTCAGGGATGCTGTTAGAGTAGGAAATCCTTGCAGTCTGCCTCAAGCTTATTACCTAGCTAGACTGCAAGAGGCAAGCTTTGCTGCACAAAGCAAGGCCATCACGGGGCTCTCTTCAACACCATCAGTTTTTAAAGGATCATCAGGATTAGGATTTAATGGAGTTCTCAGCTGAGATGGAAGAGAAAAGAGCCCAAGGCATGTGTTTTTTCTGTGATGAAAAGTTTGTGCCTGGGCATAAATGTAAGGCCAAAAGACAGATATACTCCTTGGAAATTGAGGATGAAAGTGTGGCTATCACTGAAGAGCTAGAACTTGAGGGGGACAATGAAGATCAAAGGCAGGAAGAGGAGGTCATAGAGAGTTGTGAGATCTCCTTAGAACCCTTACATGGTTCCAGAGGGTACAAGACCTTATAGGTCCAGGTCCAGGGGTTCACTGAGCACAAACCAATCAACATCCTCATTGATAGTGGATCCACACATAATTTCATTAATGAAAAAGCAGCTCAGAGGATTGGATGCAAAATCTATCAAATAAATCCTCTGTGTCAGTGGCAGATGGAAGGGTTATTCAATTAGTAAAGGGAAGCAAGGGGTTTAAGTGGCTGATGCAAGGAGTCATGTTTCAGGATGATTTCTTGGTGCTTCCTATAGGAAGTTGTGATGTAGTGCTAGGCATTCAGTGGTTGTGTAAGCTTGGGGATATCCAAATCAACTTTGAAAAGTTGTACATGCAGTTTGTGTATCAAGGAAGGCATTGCAAGGCATCCAGCCTCCTTTTAAGACTGTGGATGCCAAGGCCCTCAACAAGATTTCTGTCAATGATGTTCAGATCTTTATGATCAAGGTATGCACAGGACTATCCACTGAATGAGAACAGGATGCCATCCAGGAGGAAAAACCAGCTGAGGTGCAGTTACTACTAGATGAATACCAAGAATTATTTAAGGAACCAAAACAGCTACCACTCAAGAGGGGCATTTGATCACCATATCCCACAGAAGGAGGATAGCCTCCCTGTGAACTCAAGACCCTATAGATACTCTCCCCTTCAGAAAGATGTGATAGAAAAAATAGTGTCAGAAATGCTGAAGCAAGGGATAATTCAGCACAGTGCTAGCTCATATGCTTCTCCTATGGTTCTGGTAGGGAAGAAGGATGGTTATTGGAGGCTATGTGTGGACTATAGCACCCTAAACAAGCTAACTGTGAAGAACAAGTTTCCCATACCTATTATTGAAGAACTGCTAGATGAACTAGGGGGTTCAAAAATCTATTCCAAAATAGACCTGAGAGTTGGCTACCACCAAATCAGGACGGCACCCTCAGATATTCAAAAGACAGCTTTCAAGACTCATTCAGGGCACTATGAGTATTTGGTAATGCCCTTTGGCCTTACCAATGCACCCTCCAGTTTTCAAGGTCTGATGAATCACATATTTCAAGCACACCTCAGGAAGTTCATCCTGGTATTTTTTTATGACATCTTGGTGTTTAGCAAAGATCTGCAGGAGCATGTTCAACACCTCAGGGTCACTTTTGAACTGTTGATTCAACACCAGCTCTTTGCTAAAGAAAGCAAGTGTGTATTTGCAGCCACCAGGATTGAGTACCTGGTGCATTATATCTCTGCAGAGGGAGTGGCTACAGACCCTAAGAAGATAGAAGCTATCCAGTTATGGCCAGAACCAGCTAACCTCAAACAGCTAAGAGGGTTCCTAGGGCTAGCAGGGTACTACAGGAAGTTCATCAGGGGGTATGAGATTCTTAGCAAGCCTCTTACTGACTTGTTGAGGAAGGATAACTTTAAGTGGTCCTCTAAGGCCACTGAAGCCTTTAACAAATTGAAGGAGGCTTTAACTTCTGCACCCGTTTTGGTCCTACCTGACTTCTCCATACCCTTTGTGGTGGAAACAGATGCTTGCAGTGTGGGAATAGGGGTTGTATTGATGCAGAGGGGTCAACCAATAGCTTACCTGAGCAAGGACTTATCTCCACAGCACCAAACACTGTCAGCCTATGACAAGGAATTGCTAGCATTGGTAATGGCAGTAAACAAGTGGTCACAATACTTGGCTGGGAGACCATTCACAGTGAAAACAGACCAAAAGGCATTGAAATTCCTTCTTGAGCAAAAACTGCACACAAGGTCTCAGTTGAAGTGGATAACCAAGCTTATGCAGTATGACTTTATCATTGAATACAAGAAGGAAGGAAAATAAGGTGGCAGATGCCTTGTCTAGATTGCCATTAGTAGAGTTGGAAGCTTTAACACTCTCCACCATCAAGACTGACCTGTTAAGCCAAATTATGAAGAGCTGGGAGTCGGAGTTGGATGCTGAACTTACTGCCCTCATTGAAGATCTTAAGAAGGAAGGAGTAGAATCTAATGGGTACTCTTTGGCGCATAACCAGTTAAGAAAAAATGGGAGGTTAGTGGTAGGACCAGATGAGCAATTGAGGAAAGATATTATGCAGTTGTGCCATGACTCACCAATTGGAGGACATTCTGGAATAGCTCACACCTATAGAAGGTTGGTTGCTCTCTTCTACTGGAAGGGGATGAAGGAAGGTGTCCAAACACATGTCAAAGAGTGCGACATTTGTCAGAGACATAAATATGAAACAGTACCCTACCCAGGAATTTGTCTTCTTGAGCCGAGGCCCGAGAGTCTATCGGAAACAGCCTTTCTACTCCATCGGGTAGGGGTAAGGTCTGCGTTCACACTACCCTCCCCAGACCCCTCACCTGTGGATTTTACTGGGTTGTTGTTCTTGTTGTACAATGTACCCTACCCAGGATTGCTGCAACCACTTAAGCTACCATCACTAGCTTGGAGCAGTATAAGCATGGATTTCAGGGCTGCCAAAAGCTAAGGGGAAGACAGTAATATGGGTAGTGGTGGACAGACTAACTAAGTATGCCCATTTCATAGGAGTAGCTCACCCTTATTCCGCTAATGACATTGCCATGTTGTTTATGGAGCATGTGTTCAAGTTACATGGCATGCCAGAGGACATAGTGAGTGACAGGGATCTTATATTCACTAGCAAACTCTGGCGAGAGCTGTTCTCTATGAGTGGTGTCGCACTTAGCACTTCGACAGCCTACCATCCCCAGTCTGATGGACAGACAGAGGTTGTTAACAGATGTTTGGAGACCTACCTTAGGTGTTTCTGTTCTGATTCTCAGAAAGATTGGTACTCTTACTTGGCAGCAGCTGAATGGTGGTATAACACCACATTTCATTCCTCAATTCAAACCACCCCCTATGAGGCTCTTTATGGTCAGCCTCCACCACTTCACTTGCCTTACATGGTAGGTGATTCAGCTATGGAAAGTTGACAGGAGCTTGTTGACAAGAGAATTCAAATACCGGCTATTGCAGTATCACTTGCAAAGAGCACAACAGAGAATGACTGATCAAGCCAACAAACATAGAATTGATAGACAATTTAAAGAGGGGGATTGGGTCTACCTCAAGATACAGCCTTACAGACATGTGACAATGTCTGGAGCTCACTTCTCCAAACTTTCAGCAAAATACTATGGACCCTATCAGATTTTGCAAAAGGTTGGTAATGTAGCCTATAAGTTGTCACTGTCTCCTCAGCTTCTGCTACACCATACATTCCATGTATCCCCGCTGAAACCTTCCTATTAACTACCCGACATAACTTCCCACCCTCCAGTAATTGATATATCCGGTCCCTATTGTCCTCAACCCCAGAAAATTCTAGACAGAAGAATGATACAAAAGGGAAACAAGGCCATCACACAGGCGCTAGTTCAATGGGATAAAACAACTCCAGATCAATCCACGTGGGAGGATTAATCCCTCAAAATCAGGTTTCCTTCATTCTTTCCTTGAGGGCAAGGAAGATTTTGACAAGGGGGATCGGATACGAATCTTAAATGGAAAGAGCTACAGTATTGGTACCTGGTGCTTGCGCAGGTGTACTTGGTTGTTAAGTTAGTTGGGGACAAGGCTAAAAATAAGTTTTCAAGATAGTAGTTTAGTCCCTTTTACTTTTAAGTTATAATTAGTAGTAATTACACATTAACCCCACGATTTCCTTTATCTTATACACAATAGGTCCAGATCAGTTTGTTAGAATATGTCAGATTTGTACGCTGCCAGCTAAGGAATCTAGCTTTGCATTTCTATATATTGTATTAGCTATCTCTTTCATCATTATCAATATACAGAACCTTTATTTTTGTTGCCCTAGTTATCTTTCAGTCCTTTTTCTTTCCTGCTTTTACTGTTTAATTATTGCTTCTTTTCCATTTTCTCTTTTTGTTTTCTGTTGTTTAGCTCAGTTCGTATCAGTTTGTACCTCAACTAATCCACCAGGTACCTACTAATCACCTAGTGTTTTGGGGAATTTGACCCCTGCACTCCATGGTCTATTTCAGCTCCACTAAACACAACATAATCCCATATGACACAATACAATAGAAGCTGAAAACGAATATGAAAACAAGCAACACCCACGTAGGAAAAACAAATATTAATAGAAATACTTTAAAAAAATTCCTCTTCCCAGCAATTAACACCCTTTTTGAATAACTTGAAACCCCAGAAAACTCCAACAAAATATTTTGAACTTTACTAACATACAACTGAGTTTCCCAATTACACACACAGCCCTTTACATAACCAAAAACATAGAAAAATCCAACCAAATAATTTGAATTTACAAATACCCAGATGATGAGCACCAATTCTAGAACACAATAGAGGAGAATAATTATGAAACTGAGAAAAAGGTAACGTTTTGGAGCAATTCATAGCTTACCTGATGTCATTTTTTTCTGTTCCTCCACAATTTGATTTTCCAAGGAAAATGAAGAAACGGGAAGGGAAATTTTGGGGAAATCAATTTTCCTGATTTATGGTTGCCGTCTACCCCAAACACCAACTAACCGTTGTTTCTTTGCCGGGTCACTACCCTTCTCCGTTTTCCTACCGGGTTGCTACACTTCTAACCATTAGTTCTTTTCTCTTTTTTCTTTCATTTCCTTTTTTTTGTTATTTTCTATTGCAAGAGTATGTGTTCCTATATTACTTGAGTCTTGATGATATATTTTCTTTTTTCTTCTCCTCGTCGTCATCATCATCAAATATAGATATGAGAACATGGTCGACCAAGGGCATATTAGAAATTCCATACATTTTATAAATATCTCTTTTAAACTTAAAAGGAATTGACATGTAGCCCTCTTCTAATAGAATTCGGAATTTAAATGTGGTCTTTTTAGATTCAAATGATTGAAATGAGTGGGAAAAAAATAATGTGATCAAACTATATATAGTGTGGGCGTTATACCTTAACGTTTGTTTTGGACGTTAAGGTATAGCGCCCTTTTAAAGAGCGTTATACATATCCTTGACTAGACTAGCAGGTATAGCGCAGTTTATTAAGGCGTTATATGTATAGCGCAGTTTATTAAGGCGCTATATGTATAGCGCCTTAATAAACTGCGTTATACCCCTTCAAATATCCGTCCCTTCCCTTCCCTCCCCCCTCTCCATTTTTAAAACCAAACCAGCGGTCCCCCCATTAATGACCCAAAAAACT